TATTGCATTCACAAATTTTCGCTTGCCTTATTCGGCAAGAGGAGCCTTGCTATTTAAGCCAAAATTGCAGTTTTTACCTATTCGGCACGGTAACAAAACACACACACACACACACACACACACACACACCACACACACACACACACACACACACACACACACACACACATACACACACACATGCATACATACAGGGAAGTAGAGAAGAATTCTTACTGTCGTAAGAGGCGACTAAGGTACTGAGAACAGGGGCTAGTGACCCTTTCTGTTGCATAAATTTTTAGATATATACAGGAGAGCCAAGACGCTGGGCATTGAAGGTGGAACACTGCGACTCTAGTGTTCCTAAAGTCCCGTAAGTCTCCATGATACATCAACACCAATAAGGTACAGTTTTGACTTGTATGTATCCATTGTTCTTTTCTAGTGTAGATGGAAGGTAAATTCGAGATTGTGTTCTTGTGAAAATCCCCGCCATCACTTATTCCCAGTAATGGGTCTCCCCCCCCCTCTCCTTTCCTGCCGGCTTCCAGCCTGCAGGTATAACTATGGCTTCAGTGCTCGGCTACATAGATAGCAAAGGTCATGCCCAATTCTAGGGGCAACTTAAGAGTACAAAAAAAAAATAAAAAATAACCTATGGCCTTAAAAAAAACACTCACTACTTAACCTCGGACTCCCTGGTGAAGCCACATTTCTCATTCAGTTCACATTTAATCACTGACAATGTTTACTATGGAGAACTCTTTCGTAATACCAACACCTTACATAACATACAACCTATCTTTACATATATCTAGAAGCCTGCAAAACTGTGCATATGTTTCACTGGCAATAAGTGTAGCGGAACCTTCACACTAGGCTAGATGAAAATAGATACAGCGGCAGCAGCACTATAATTTATTTCGCTTTCTATTAAGGGAGGAGCATGGCATCCGTCCTAGTAGCACAAGCCAGTCAGGTCCAACTCACACCCACCCACACTCACTCCTGTATTTATCCAACCTATTTTTAAAAACTACACAGAGTCTTAGCCTCTATGTCTTTACCCTCTTCAGTCAGCATGGTAAGTTTACTGCTTCATGGGGACGATCCATGTTAAACGCGAGGCAACCAAAATCTCAAAGCTACCTTACTTTTTTAAGCAACGGTTTAACACTTAGAGTTGCTAGCTGCTAGGTCATCATATTTTACCTCACTTCTCTCTCTATTCCCCGTGTATATCATAATTTACCTCTTGCCAACACAATAAATCCCAGCAGAACACAGTTTGAAAATACAGTAACTAGACAGCAATCGTAACAGCTGACCTTATTGTAGCTTGATATAAGTGAAACCATCATTAAGAGCGATATCGCTGACTTACGATAATCAGCGTGGATTTTGTAACAAATGATCCTGCCTAACGAATTTATTGGATTTCTTTAATTGCATGTACAATAATTGGGATACGAAACTCATCTCTGATGTAGTTTGCCTAAATTTCCATATCGTTTTTAACAAATTCCAACATTTAAAAGGAAAATAATATGTTCATGTAGAGAAAAATTAGAAGCATAGGTCTTTGACAGTCCTTATTGCGAGTCAATGAGGATAGTGTAGCAAGGAAACATCAATGACGGTGAGTGATTGTGAGTATGAAGTGGGTCCCAAACACGGGTCAGTGTATAATTGTGAGTAACAGACAGGTACGTCAGTGATTACTGATGACTGTAAAAAGGTGAGTACATCAAAGATTAATTAGTGTGAATAACAAGTCAAAATATATGTGTAATGAGTGCGTTACCTCAGCACCTGGGTGTAACAAGTGGAATGTCACAATCATCTGAGTGTACCAAGAGGGTCACAATCATTTGAGTGATTCAAGTGGAAAGTCACGATCATCTGAGTGTATCAAGTGGGTCACAATCATCTGTGTCAAATGGAATGCCACAATCATCTGAGTGTGTCAAATGGAATGCCACAATCATCTGAGTGTATCAAGTGGAATGTCACAATCATCTGAGTGTATCAAGTGAAATGTCACAATCATCTGAGTGTATCAAGTGGAATGTCACAATCATCTGAGTGTATCAAGTGGAATGTCACAATCATCTGAGTGTATCAAGTGGAATGTCACAATCATCTGAGTGTATCAAGTGGAATGTCACAATCATCTGAGTGTATCAAGTGGAATGTCACAATCATCTGAGTGTATCAAGTGGAATGTCACAATCATCTGAGTGTATCAAGTGGAATGTCACAATCATCTGAGTGTATCAAGTGGAATGTCACAATCATCTGAGGATATTAAGTGGGTCACAGTCATCTGAATGTATCAAGTGGAATGTCATAATCATCTGAGTGTATCAAGTGGAATGTCACAATCATCTGAGTGTATCAAGTGGAATGTCACAATCATCTAAGTGTATCAAGTGGAATGTCACAATCATCTGAGTGTATCAAGTGGAATGTCACAATCATCTGAGTGTATCAAGTGGAATGTCACAATCATCTGAGTGTATCAAGTGGAATGTCACAATCATCTGAGTGTATCAAGTAGAATGTCACAATCATCTAAGTGTATCAAGTGGAATGTCACAATCATCTGAGTGTATCAAGTGGAATGTCACAATCATTTGAGTGTATCAAGTGGAATGTCACAATCATTTGAGTGTATCAAGTGAAATGTCACAATCATCTGAGTGTATCAAGTGGAATGTCACAATCATCTGAGTGTATCAAGTGGAATGTCACAATCATCTGAGTGTATCAAGTGGAATGTCACAATCATCTGAGTGTAACAAGTGGAATGTCACAATCTGAGTGTAACAAGTGGAATGTCACAATCATCTGAGTGTAACAAGTGGAATGTCACAATCATCTGAGTGTAACAAGTGGAATGTCACAATCATCTGAGTGTATCAAGTGGAATGTCGCAATCATCTGAGTGTATCAAGTGGAATGTCACAATCATCTGAGTGTAACAAGTGGAATGTCACAATCATCTGAGTGTAACAAGTGGAATGTCACAATCATCTGAGTGTATCAAGTGGAATGTCACAATCATCTGAGTGTATCAAGTGGAATGTCACAATCATCTGAGTGTAACAGCCTGAGTGCCTCGGGGATCACTCAGTGGCCTCATTGTTTTCATGACTGATTTAAATATTTTTGAAGCAAGAACCGCATTAAAAAAGAACCATTGGTCACCACACGATTTAAGAAAAATGAACTTTTGTTGCTGACTATTGAGCATTTCCTTCTTCCCAGATAAGCGAGCGAGACGACCAGAAATGTGGAAAATAAGATACCATTCAGAGAAATTTAAAACACTGCATTTTAGCTTCTATAATGCTATAAACGAAGAGATTGTAAGTTCCTTGGGGAATATAATTAGCAATGGCATTATGTGCAGAGAACAATGTCTAAGGAAAGAAGAAATCTTAAAGTGTGCTAAACCTCGTAACTTGTACACTCGTGCTGAAGACACTACAAAACATACTGATTATGCTTACTAGAGATGTATCGGATGTGAAAATTTAGATATCCGCGGATGCGGATGTGTATGAGGATGTCTCACTTATTTTGCGGATGCAGATGCATATGCAAGAAATTGTGCGGATGTTATGCGGATGCGGATATCCGATACATCTCTAATGCTTGCAGTATACTAGTTCTGCTCGACCATCTGTATGGAGGAAGTAAATGTACTTAGATACTTGGAGGTTGACGTGTCTGCAGGTGGATCTAAGAATGAACAAATGAATCGTAGACGAGGTGAAAAAAAAGTTACGCGGGATGTTGAGGAATTCGTCAAAAGAAATTCATCGAGAGTATTGAACTACCAAGACTTCAGGACGCTTTGCTACGACTCATTCCTAGCAAAGTTTCCCCTGGAACAAATCTGCTGAGATTTTCCTACTCATTTCTGCAACTTTGCAACCTCTTGATGATGTGTTGATTCCAACACGAAAGACCTAGAGCTATTATTCAGCTCCCCCTGTGGTACATATCAACAAAGCTATCCTCGGGCGCAGACCTGGCCGGTATTAACACTACCAACCTTTAAGCTGAAACTGGGAACAGACCACTGGGTCTAGTCCCAAAAGTTTGTGGGTTCTGAAAGTGGCTTTTGTTATATAAAACCGGTCCAAAAACAGTGACAGTGAGACTGAGAGTAAGAACGATACATTTTTACTAGCCGAAGATCGAACCTCGGTCATTCCGACGAGTCACAAGTGTGACCAGTCGGCTTGGTCAGTTGGCGACTAAATGCACAAAATATTTTCGTATACATAGTACAATCTCTTATATGCGGATGAAACATAAAGGGATGGAGTGAAATCAGAGAGAGAGAAAAAAAAAACAGAAGGAAAGAGAAATGTGCTTCAAAAAGGTAAGTATATATGCATCTGATGTAGTGTTTATTTAGGTGTCCCGTGGCTTGATTACTTGTTCACGCAGCTTACACATTGAGGTCCGTGGTTCAATTCCCGGTACAGGTGGAAACATTAGGGCGTGTTTCCTTAAGACACTTGTTGTCCCTGTTCACCTAGCAGTAAAATAGGTACCTGGGTGTTAGTGGACTGGTGTGGGTCGCATCCTGAAGACAAAATTGATATAATTTCCTCGAAATGCTCTGCATAACAAGAGGATTTCTATATAATAGTATATCAATGTCAGCTAAGCCTGTACGTTGTACATGTACTTGTGGAAACTAAGATTATTATTATTATTATTACTATTATTATTCTAGTGTTTATACTAGTGTTTACTCTGGTCCCATTCTAGTAATTGAAGCATCCTTGATTCTAGTTTCTAGGCCGACTAATACCTTATTGATCCTCGTTGGGCAATAAACTTTAATTATAAAACATTAAATAAAAATCATAATAAAGGAGCTTTTATTAAAAAAAAGCTCATTAATCTTACCAGGGTCACATTAGAGAAAAATCGACTATTTCTCTTCTTGCCATTATTATCTCTCCACATCTTAACTTTAACAATAGCTGGCCACGATGAAGGAGAATGAAGATCGCCATGAATATAAAGCGCATAAGAGCGTGAATAATGTGGGTATTGAGATGGAGTTTGCGAGATTGTGTAATGATGTGCTGCCATTGATGACTTACTGATGACCATCTAACATGTATTTCCACATACATTATGTTTGTTCAGTACTTCTAGCTACAAACTACCCTCAAATACTCCCTAAGAAATTTAGTTTAACACTTCTAGCCACAAATTATCCTCAGATATTTCCCACGTACGTTAGTTTAATACTTCTAGTCACAAATTATCCTCATATACTCCCCATGCACGTTAGTTTAATACTTCTATCCACAAACTACCTATACCTATGGTAGTATGTTGGTAGACAGCAACCAACCAGGGAGGTATTACCGTCCTACCAAGTGAGTGTAAAACAGAAACCTGTAATTATTTTACATGATGGTAGGATTGCTGGTGTTTTTTTTTTTTTTTTGTCTCATAACATGCAAGATTTCAGTACGTCTTGCTACTTCTCTTACACTTAGGTCACACTACACATACATGTATACAAGCATATTATATATATATATATATATATATATTATATATATATATATTATATATAATATATATATATATATATATATATATATATATGTCGTGCCGAATATGTAAAACTGGTCAATTAGCAAGAACTCATTTAAAATTAAGTCCTTTCTAAAATTTTCTCTTATACGTTTAAAGATATATTTTTTTCATTAATGTTAATGTAAAAATTTTTAATTTTGCACCAAAAGAATCTTAGAAAACTTACCTAACCGTATTATAACAAGAGCAACTTATTTTAGCCTAACCCAACTAAATATATTTTAGATACGTTTACAATAATTTAATACTAAACAAACACAGTGAAATATATTATATTTCGTTAGGTTCAGAATGATTTTGGCGAAATTATTGCATACACAAATTTTCACTTGTCCTATATGGCAAGATGAGCGTTGCTATTTAAGCAAGATTGCAAGTTCTGCTATCGGCACGACACATTATATATAATATATATATATATATATATTATATATATATATATAATATTATATTTTTATATAATATAATATAATATATGGCTGGCAAACCCCTGCCAGAGGGG